GGTCTCGGGTTTCCTCCTGATGGGATTAGCTTCCAGGTTGTTTCTGACCAATCATTCTGACTCCGGTCCGTCCTGGACCACGCAGTGCCCGCCCGGGCCAAGGTGGATGCCAGAGCAGGGGGCTCTGGGAGGTGGGAGGCCGAGGCATCTCCTTTTGACCTTCCCCAACTCTTCCCGTTGGTGGTGGCTCATTAGTTCCGTGTTCATTAGCAGGACCTCCTGGCGTAAAAAAACTCATGCAGCCGTTGCCTGTGGTGCCGGCTGGGGGGCAGTCTCAGTCAGCGCGCTCCCCTAGCGGGCCCACTTGGGCGGGGGGCAGTCTCGTCCACGCACCCCCCTAGTGGGCCCGCGTTGGACAGGGGGCAGTCTCAGTCCGCGCGCTCCCCTAGCGGGCCCACTTGGGCGGGGGGCAGTCTCGTCCACGCACCCCCCTAGTGGGCCCGCGTTGGACAGGGGGCAGTCTCAGTCCGCGCGCTCCCCTAGCGGGCCCACTTGGGCGGGGGGCAGTCTCGTCCACGCACCCCCCTAGTGGGCCCGCGTTGGACAGGGGGCAGTCTCAGTCCGCGCGCTCCCCTAGCGGGCCCACTTGGGCGGGGGGCAGTCTCGTCCACGCACCCCCCTAGTGGGCCCGCGTTGGACAGGGGGCAGTCTCAGTCCGCGCGCTCCCCTAGCGGGCCCACTTGGGCGGGGGGCAGTCTCGTCCACGCACCCCCCTAGTGGGCCCGCGTTGGACAGGGGGCAGTCTCAGTCCGCGCGCTCCCCTAGCGGGCCCACTTGGGCGGGGGGCAGTCTCGTCCACGCACCCCCCTAGTGGGCCCACGTTGGACAGGGGGCAGTCTCAGTCCGCGCGCTCCCCTAGCGGGCCCACTTGGGCGGGGGGCAGTCTCGTCCATGCATCCCCCTAGTGGGCCCTCGTTGGACAGGGGGCAGTCTCAGTCCGCGCGCTCCCCTAGCGGGCCCACTTGGGCGGGGGGCAGTCTCGTCCACGCACCCCCCTAGTGGGCCCGCGTTGGACAGGGGGCAGTCTCAGTCCGCGCGCTCCCCTAGCGGCCCGCGTTGGACGGGGGGCAGTCTCAGTCCGCACGCTCCCCTAGCGGTGCTGTGGGGGCGCGGAGAGCCCGGCTCAGTGGCCCGAGTCTCCTCCTCTCCCGCCCCCGGCTCTGTCCAGCAGGGATGAGGACCCCTCAGCCCGCGTGCCCAGGCTCTGTCCGCTCCTAGGGCTGTGGGTGCCCAGTGTCCTGGGCGAGTGGGCCCAGGGAAGAGGCCCGCAGGAGCACTGAACAAAGTTTGGAGTTACTTGGGTGAGAAATTCCAGGATCCTACTTATTTTTTAGTATGGAGAGACTGCTTCTCTAGTGGAAATCTAATACAAGCTGTATGAACAATCAAATTTTCTGGTAGCCACGTTAGAAAACAGAAAAAGAAACAGGTGAAATTAATTTTACTGATATAACTTATATAATTCAATATATCAAAATATATCAAATGATTTAATTAAATATATCAAAGTGAAAACAATGACAGATTTTCTTGGGCTCCAAAATCGCTGTGAACAGTGACTGCAGTCACAGAATTAAAAGACACTTGCTCCTTGAAGGAAAACCTATGACAAACCTATACAAGCATATTAAAAAGCAGAGACATCACTTTGCTGACAAAAGCCCGTACAGTCAAAGCTGTGGTTTTTCCAGTAGTCATATATGGATATGAGAGTTGGACCATAAAGAAAGCTGAGAGCCGAAGAATTGATGCTTTCAAACGTGGTACTGGAGAAGACTCTTGAGAGTCCCTTGGACTGCAAGGAGATCCAACCAGTCCATCCTGAAGGATATCAGTCCTGGGTGTTCAGTGGAAGGACTAATGCTGATACTGAAGCTCCAATACTTTGACCACCTGATGCGAAGAGCTGACTCATTGGAAAGATTGAGGATGGGAGGTGAATGAGGCAGCAGAGGATGAGGTGATTCAGTGGACGTGAGTTTGAGCACACTGGGAGCTGGTGAAGGGTAGGGAATCCTGGTGTGCTGCAGTTCATGGGGTCGCAGAGAGTCAGACATAACTTAGCAAATGAACAACCACAAAATCAAAATGATCGCTTCTGAAAAATGGATGGAGCTTACATGTGCTAAGTCTTTGGAGTCCAGCGTGCACTTTATGATAGAGAAACACGGCGGGTTGGCGGGTGCTGCTGCAGGTGCTCGGGAACCGCCTGAACCTACGGTCTTGGGCGGACAGCACAGCTGCGGGCAGGAGCCGGGGCTCCTGGTTACGCAGGGACTCTCGGCCCGTCCTGCTGTTGATCTCTTCTCTTCCATTGAAGTTTGTCAACTGCCCTTTACTTACTCAGCTCACTGCTGATTTCCTTTCTTATCAGCAATGATGTGGTCCTAGTAAACTTGTTTGTATAGATGAATATACCTTTTCCCCCATTACTGACTAATACTTTTCCAAAAGCCAGTGATTCCATTTTCCATTGTAAGTAATTACTGGAATTATAATCCTTCCATTCTCCACTTTCTGAAGTCTTTGTACTATATTGGTTAATGTTAGGATCTTTCTCCTTCATTGAGGAACTTCTTAAAAAACAGTTTGGTTTAATTGCATGCATATTTTAAAGCTGTGGCCACTTCTATCAAAGGAGGGAACAAATCTAGACGGTAGGGTACTCTTTTTGTTTGGACTAGAACAGCAGTTTTATCTATTTCAGGATGAAGTTGCAAGAATTAGAAGGGAACAAAAGCATCTAGTTAAATTTGAATTTCAGAAAAACAAAGAATATATGTATTTTTTAACAGAAGTAAGTTTCATGCAACATTTGAGACTTACTAAAAAATATTTGTTGTTTGTCTGAAATACAAATTTAACTGGAGCCCTGTATTTTATCTGGGAACATTATTTCAGGACTCTCTTACTGTGTCAAAAATTGAGGACCCTAAGCAGCTTTTATTTCTGTGGATTAAGCTGTTGGTATTTACTATATTCGAAATTTAAGCTGAAAAAAATATTTTAATATATAGTAATTAATTTAGAAAATAAATAGACGCCATTCTTGTTAACATGTGTATTTTTTATGAAAGATAACTACCTTCTAAAACAAAAAAATAGAAGAATGTCATTGTTTTATGTTGTTGGAAATCTTTTAATTCCTGGCTTAGTTGAAGACAGTTGGATTCTCAAGTCTGTTTCTGCTTCTAAACAGGTGTGCTATCACAAAGATGTATACCGTCTGGAAACCTCCCCTGGACATTTGGGAGGAGAGGAGAGTCACAAGAAGCAAATGACACCTTAGTGTGGTTTTGAACATAATGTTGACCTGAGACCCTCCTGAGGCTTTAAGGGCCTTTTTCACTGTCCCCCAGCTTTGCTTTGAGAACCCCTGGGCTGGAAATAATAGACCCTGTAATTCCAGCTTGTGTCAGATAGATCATAGTCAGAATAGAGAATGAACATTCTTTTTCAAGAAGGAGTAATGAGTCAAATGGTAAAATACAAAAACTTTTTAGTTATCATTTAAGTTTAGCAGTAATTCTTAAGCTTTGTTTTTTACTTTAAAGTTACTCCATCATCCAAGAAAACCGCTGTCAATCTGTCAGATATGTACATTGTCAGTTTTCTATCTGAAATAAAATGTATATAGCTATTTAGAGCAAAGCTTTACATTTTTTATTTAGAATTCAGTAAAGAAGTCACATGAGAGTTTCTTTAAAATGTTGACTGGATTGAATTGAGTTTATTTTTAAGATACTGTGTCTGTTTTAGGCATTGTACACCTTGCCTGGACTTTAGGCATGGCCAGTTTTTTAAAAAATTGACATAATGCAATAGCTAATCAGATTTGCTTCTCAATAGAAAACATGTAGAGGTTGGCAAAGAGCCAATCATGAGAATTTAGACATGACTTCTTGAATTGCTTTAATTGCTTGGACAACTGAGAAGATGAAAGAGCCATTAACAAAAATAGAACAGGAGGAAGTGCTGGTCTGGGATAAAGATGGTAAGTTCCGTTTTGGACTGGAGGTACTGTCAGCAGGTCAGGGAAGAGGAGAGGGGCTGTGACGGGTTAGAGAGAATTGTCCATGGAGCAGGGAAACAGCGCCAAGGAAAGCAGGGTAAAGAGAGAGAAGGAACTGACGCGGACCAGATCTGTGATACCTGACTCTGCGGTAGGCACACGGAGACGTGGAAGAGAACAGGAAGAAAGGAGAGAAGGTCTGCAGAGAGCTGTGGACTTGCCAGGTGGCTCAGTGGTGAAGAATCCGCCTGCAATGCAGGCGGCATGGTTTTGATCCTTGAGTGGGGAAGATCCCCTGGAGAAGGAAACAACCCACCGCAGTATTCTTGCCTGGGGAATCCCATGGACAGAGGAGCCTGGTGGGCTACAGTCCATGGGGTCCCAAAGAGTTGGACACTGAGTGACTCAACAGCAGCAGGAAGAAGCAGTGAGGAAAGGCTGGTAAGAGTGGGGTGAGCAGAGCCCCTCCAGGAAGGCTGTGTGGCCCGCAGGATTGAGTGTCGGGCTGAGAGGAGGAATGGCAGCTGGTTCTTCAGCTTGGAACTGCAGAACTGGGCACCGCAGAGAGAGTGTGGTTTTGATAGATTGAGAAGTTTTTTATAATTTCAGGTTTGGGTTTTTGACTTGTCTGGGATTATAAAGAAATCCGAAAGAACTTTTCCTTCCTCTCTGTTACTCACACAGGTGTTAATTAAGCTAGCCAAGGTGAAGCTGAAAGTCTAACTCCATCAAACTCACCTCCTCAGATATTCAGCCTTGTTTTAGAGTGATGCTTGTTTTTAAATAGAATCATTATCTTTTAGGTGGAGCACCAGCCTTAGAATCTGAAGATGCGCCCCCCCAGCTCTGCTGTTCATGTGCCCTGTGAGGGCTCTTCATTCTGCTCCGCTGAATTAGAGTCGGACTAGATTATCTCTAAGGCTGTGCTGAAGTCATGTGCTGTTACACATCTGTGACATTTGTCTTTTCTTTTTTGTTTTTGTGATAGGTTCACCAAGTTGAAGAGTCTTAACCTTTCCAATAACCATCTAGGGGACTTCCCACTAGCGGTCTGCAGTATTCCTACGTTGGCCGAGCTCAACGTGTCATGCAACGCCCTTCGAGCCGTCCCAGCAGCCGTCGGAGCGATGCACAAGTAGGTCCTCCAGACCTCACATCAGGGCCCCCGAGGCCCCACCCCGGACACTGCGCTGGGGCCATCGCACAGGAGGCTAGTCAGCCTGCTGTGCTGGTCGTAGACGCCTCTGCCCCAAATCAAGAGATCATGCTTTTGTGTAGAGTTCATTTTATGGCTACTTTGAGAATCTTGTAAAAAATTAAAATATCCTCGTTTAGAACCAGTGATCCCTACAGATGAATGTGTCTAAATGTGGGAGGAGGGGTTGGTTTCCCATTTCCTAAGTTATGTTGAATTCTAAGACTTTGAAGTTAATTTTTTTATATTAATTGCTTCCAATAATTTGCTTCCAGTTTTATTAATTGAAACTACTTAAAATCTTATACATGCTCATTATGAAAGTGAAAGTGTTAGTTGCTCAGTCATGTCCAACTCTTTGCAACCCCATGGACTGTAGCCCACCAGGCTTCTCTGTCCATGGAATTCTCCAGGAAAGAATACTGGAGTGGGTTGTTGCCATTCCCTCTTCAGGGGATCTCCAACCCAGGGATTGAACCTGGGTCTCCTACATTGCAGGCAGGTTCTTTACCAGAAATATAAATACTGTAAAATACTATAGCAAATACAACAATAAATGATTTAGAAGCTCCCCAAATTCTACTATCTAAAAATCTCTATTACTGATACTAGGAAAATATTATGAGATATATTTTTCCATTTATACAGGGAGAAGGATGGATGTATAGGTGAAAAGTGATATCTCAGTATTTGTATTTCTTTTAGGAGAGAAGTACAGAATCTTCTCACGTGTTTATTTTTATTTTTTTTTCTTTTTTCTTCCATTTATTTTTATTAGTTGGAGGCTAATTACTTTACATCATTCTCATGTGTTTAAAAGTCAGACTTAGAAGTTAATTTTTTTAAATAACAATGAAAGATGAGTATTTAGGCTGATTCACATTGCAGTCAGCTCGTGGTGTTCCCATTTATGCCTATCCAGGTTGAGAGAATTGGTCATAATTTTTGTTTTCAATAAGAGATTAAGATGCTTGTCTCTGATCTTTTCTCTCTGGTGTATAATCGCCTCAGGCCCTGCCCTTAGCATTTTGCAAAGAACAGTGCAATATATTTCCTTTTTCTGGTAAGAGGATCTATACTTGTGGAACTCGCAAGTTAAAGAAGTAAAATGTATACATTCTCTTTATAACTCTTATGTTTTCTTTAATAGCTTACAGACATTTTTGTTGGATGGAAACTTTCTCCAGACCCTTCCTGCTGAGTTGGAGAACATGCATCAGCTTAGTTATCTTGGTCTTTCTTTCAATGAATTCACTGACTTTCCAGAGGTGCTGGAGAAGCTGACAGCTGTGGATAAGCTTTGTATGTCTGGAAACTGCATGGAGACGCTTCGGCTACAGGCTTTAAGAAAAATGCCTCACATTAAGCATGTGGATCTAAGGTAACCACTTTTAAGTAATATTTCCTGTTTGAGTGGTTGGCTTATGTCTGGGATGTCGGTTGTAGCCCTTCTGGTGGCATTCTTCTGTCTAGACGAGCAAACTGGTTAGTTGCAGTTAGGACCTACTTTTCTGTTTTCCCTCAGAGGGAACCCTGAAACTTGTTAAAAAAAATTTTTTTTTTCCACATCGATGAGTGACCATCTATCTCGAAGGTTGGTTTTGCAGGTTTGAGGCCAGTTTTAATTAGTAGGGCCATCAAGTCAGAGAAGACTATGGTGAATGAAAACCATGTGTCTGAGAGCCCCGTGGATTTTGCTCTCCCTTCTCCCTCCCTTTCTTTGAGGCAGTTGACATCGTTGAGCTCCTCTCTTTTCTTTTCTTTATTTTTTTCCCTTCCTTGGCTTCCTTAATATAATATATTCATTAAATTTGTTAGTTACTTAGTTTATGTTAATTTCCTCTCTCTCCATCCAGATGGCTTTTCCCTTACTTTGCTGTTCTTTATAAAAATGTAAACCACGTCATCTCTTGTTCGGCCTGAGTTTAGCCGAAGCCTCCACTCTCGCCCCTTTGCAGGAGCAGGGAACCTGCATTTTGAGTTCTGATCACACTAAACTCCAAGTGAAAACACCCACACATCCTCGCTTACATCACAGATGTATTTTTGCATATACTTTACATATGGATGGGCTTTGAGTTCCTGCAAAGCAACATATTGGGTTTAGGGCTTAATATTAACTTGCCCAATTTGATATTTTTCAATGAAAGTAACTTCCCCATTGGAGCTAAAGCTCCAATAACTTTGGCCACCTGATATGAAGAGCTGATTCATTGGGAAAGACCCTGACTCTGGAAAAGATTGAGGGCAGGAGGAGAAGGGGATGACAGAGGATGAGATGGTCAGATGGCATCACCAACTCAATGGACAAGAATTTGAGCAAACTCCGGGAGATGGTAAATGACAGGAAAGCCTGGCGCACTGCAGTCCATGGGGTTACAGACAGTTGGATACAACTTAGTGACTGGACAATAGCAAACTTCCCCATTAGCCAGGGAGTGGTGACCACGTTAAATCTTAGGTGAGATGTTTAATATTTCTGTGCAGCTGCATTCTCATCTCTAGCTTACAGTTAACAGCAGCATGATTCGCAGAGCTTGGGAAGGAAGAGAGTAAATGCCTCACTCTCAGCGAACGTTCCACGCTGTTCTCATTGCCTGCTGAGAGCTCTTCTGCTCATGAGCCCTTCCCTGCTGTCATTCTCGGCATCTTTTCCCCTCTTTGGATTTTCTTTCCTTGTTTTTCTGCCCACTTTCCTCCAGGGTGATGACACCAGACCCTCCCTCACGCCCGTCAGAGTTCATCAGTACAAAGTAGCAGCCTCGCCTTTTGCTCCACTTTCATCTCCATCCTTCCAGTTTGACTCAGGGAACCCATGCATTGCAGTCCCACAAAGACGTGGTTTGCTTTACCTTTCCTTAGACTGAAAGAATAAAGGCTGTCACACTCGGGGACATGTTAGCAATTTGCAGACGTACAGTTCTTAGTTCAGGGAGACCAAATGGTAACAATTTTTCTGACTTTGAGAACTTTTTGAAGGGTGACAGGATAGGGAGCTGAACACATTGTCTTGCTAACTTTCATTCTGAATTTGTTAACCTTATTTGCCTCTGAGTGGTGGCTCAGTGGCAAAAGAGTCTGCCTTCAGTGCAGGAGAGGCAGGAGATGTGGGTTCCATCCCTGGGTTGGAAAGATCCCCTGGAGGAAGAAATGGCAACCCACTCTAGTATTCTTCCCTAGGAAATGCCATGGACAGGGGAGCCTGGCGGGCTGCAGTCCACGGGGTCACAGAGAGTCAGACGTGACTGCTGTGACCGAGTACCCATAGCACACATACAACTGGGTTTAGAAAACCTTCATATTCAAAAGTTTGGGCTCTTTTTAAATTCAATCACCCAGAGATGGTCATATTGATCTCTGGTAACAAGCATCAGAGAGGATTTATAAGTTACCTCATGTTAGATAAGAAGACATCATTTTCCTTGATGTGAATTAGCTTCCAAACAAGATCAATCTAATATGTTTGGAAGCAACTGTTCTTATTAAGAGCTTTGTAAATTCTTCAGATTTCTAGTTCAAATTGGGTATTTTTAGATGAGGTCAGTTACAGGATATTTAGAAACCAGAATAGACGTTTATACACTGTAAATGCTGAATGACCATGAGTAACTGCTTCCCTCCAGAGTACAGAGTTGAGAAGGTCTGGTCAGATCTGCTTGCGATTCTGCCTTAATGTTTTATACTGAAGCTAGTGGGATGATTTAAGAGGAGTCTCACTTAGTTTCTGTGAGCCGAGGGCTAATTGTATTGATTGAATTTCTGTTCCTTCAGATGGAAATAGTACGTCAAATTAAAAGTAATCATTTTTCTTTTAATCTTACTCTTTTTCTCACATTGACGTATTTAAGATTGATACTGTTTTTTCTATGGTGTGGTTAATATTTTTGCCTCTTCTGCAAGCTCTGGATGTTACGTTTCTCTCCTTGATCACTCCTCTCTCTGTTCTCTGCCTGTGCTCACCGGGCCCCATCGTTACCTCTTGTCTCCGTGGTAAATACTCTTCGTCTTGCTCCAACCCTTGTTTCTCGTCTTAGGATCAATTCCACTTCAGCTGCCAGCAGGATAATTTCACTTTCTTCTTTTGACACACTTAACCAAATTGCATGTGAAACAGTTTAGTTTCTTTTTTTTAACGTGTTTTTAAATTGGAGTGTAATTGCTCTACAGTGTTGTGTTAGTTTCTGCTGCGAATCGGCTGTGTGTCTACGCGTGTTCCTTCGCTCCTAAGCCTCCTTCCTACCGCCCCCTGCCCCCGCCCCACCCCCCGGCCATCACAGAGCACTGAGCTGAGCTCCCTAGGCTACACAGCGGTTTCCCAGCTGTGCATAGCAGTTACTAGCTACGTATCTTACACGTAGCCGTGCTTGTATCAGTGCTGCTCTCAATTTATCCCACCTTCTCCCTCCCATCTCTGTGTCCACAAGTCTGTTTATATATCTGTGTCTCTGCTCCTGCCCTGCAAATAGATTCCTTAGTACCGTTTTTCTAGATTCCATGTATATGTGCTAATATACAATATTTGTTTTTCTGACTTCATTCTGAATGACAAATTCTAGGTTCATCCACATCACTATAAATGACTACTTTCTTTCTTTATTCAGCAAGTTCTTTCCCATGGATTCCTATTTTTGCTGATAGCAGCACCACTTTATTGGTTCAATTCATTCACTCAGTCATGTCTGACTCTTTGTGACCCCCATGGACTGCAGCACACCAGGCTTCCTTGTCCATCACCATCTCCCTTGCTCAAACTCATGTCCATTGAGTCGGTGATGCCATCCAACCATCTCATCCTCTGTTGTCCCCTTCTCCTTCTGCCTCAATCTTTCCCAGCATCAGGATGTTTTCTAATGAGTCAGTTCTTCACATCAGATGGCCAGAGTATTAGAGTTTCAGCTTCAGCATCTGTCCTTCCAGTGAATATTCAGGATTGATTTCCTTTAGGATGGACTGGTCTGATCTTGCAGTCTAAGAGACTCTCAAGAGTCTTCTCCAACACCACAGTTCAAAATTATCAATTCTTTGGTGCTCAGCTTTCTTTATGGTCCATTGCTCACATCCATACACAACCACTGGAAGAACCATAGCTTTGACTAGACAGACCTTTGTTGGCAAAGTAATATCTGCTTTTTAATATGCTGTCTAGGTTTGTCATAGTTTTTCTTCCAAGGAGCAAATGTCTTTTAATTTCATGGCTGCGGTCACCATCTGCAGTGATTTTAGATCCCAAGAAAGTAAAGTCTCTCACTGTTTCCATTGTTTCCCCATCTATTTGCCTTGAGGTAGTGGGACTGGATGCCATGATCTTCGTTTTTTGAATGTTGAGTTCTAAGCCAGCTTCTTCACTCTTCTCTTTTACTTTCACTGATTTGTCAACAAAGGTCCATCTAGTTAAAGCTATGGTTTTCCCAATGGTCATGTATGGATGTGAGAGTTGGACTGTGAAGAAAGCTGAGCACCGAAGAATTGATGCATTTGAACTGTGGTGTTGGAGAAGACTCTTGAGAGTCCCTTGGACTGCAAGGAGATCCAACCAGTACATCCTGAAGGAAATCAGTCCTGGGTGTTCGTTGGAAGGACTGATGCTGAAGCTGAAACTCTAGTACTTTGGCCACCTGATGCGAAGAGCTGACTCATTGGAAAAGACCCTGATGTTGAGAAAGATTGAAGGCAGGAGGAGAAGGGGATGACAGAGGATGAGATGGTTAGGTGGCATGACCGACTCAGTGAACATGAGTTTGGGTAAACTCTGGGAGTTGGTCATGGACAGGGAATCCTGGCATGCTGCAGTCCACAGAGTTGCAAAGAGTCAGACACGACTGAGCAACTGAACTGAACTTTCACTTTCATCAAGAGGCTCTTTAGTTCGTCTTTGCTTTCTGCCATAAGGGTGGTGGTGTGTACATACCTGAAGTTACTGATATTTCTCCCAGCAATCTTGATTCCAGCTTTCGCTTCATCCAGCCTGGCATTTCACATGATGTACTCTGCACATAAGTTAAATAAGCAGGGTGACAATATACAGCCTTGACGTACTCCTTTCCCAAATTGGAACCAGTCTGTTGTTCCATGTCAGTTCTAACTGTTGCTTCCTGACCTGCATACAGATTTCTCGAGAGGCAGGTCAGGTTGTCTGGTATTCCCATCTCTTGAATTTTCCAGTTTGTTGTGATCCACAGAGTCAAAGTCTTTAGCATAGTCAATGAAGCAAAAGTAGATGTTTTTCTGGAATTCTCTTGCTTTTTCTATAATCCGGCAGATGTTAGCAATTTGATCTTTGGTTCCTCTGCCTTTTCTAAATCCAGCTTGAACATCTGGGAGTTCTCCATTCACGTATTGTTGAAGCGTGGCTTGGAGAATTTTGGTCATTATTTTGCTAGTGTCTGAGATGAGTGCAGTTGTGTGGTAGTCTGAGCCTTCTTTCGCGTTGCCTTTCTTTGGGATTGGAATGAAAACTGACCTTTTCCAGTCCTGTGGCCCCTGCTGAGTTTTCCAGCTTCACTGGTCACCAGACACAAAATTTGTGACTCTGTTTTCTAGTGGGCCGCCCAGATGCTGTCAGTTCGTCTTGGGCGCCGGTCTTACTCTCTGGCCTTTGTTTTTCTTCTCACTGCTGCTCTTGCCTCCTCTCTGCGCGGTCTGCTGCCACTGTACAGCCTCTCAAGCACAGCCTCACTCAGAGCCTTCAGTTCCCTAATTCAAGATACTTAAGCTCTCATCTCTAGTTTCAAGCCTCTAGCCTGTGAATCCCTTGAGGATGAGGTTCTAAGTATGGTTCTGTCCAGACTGTGGTCCTCCAGCATGTGCTAGCAGACCAACTCTTTGCAACTTTTTTTAACAAAGAGATATGTATAGTGATTGAGACTTAATATCCTAGAAACATCGCACACTGCCACAGTATTCCCCTAGACCCGTGTAAGCAGACGCATCTCATTGTAAAGGGAACAGATGAGGTTAGGTGTTGGCGAGCTCGAAGTGGTGAGCCACCTGTGCAGGGAGCCATGTCCTAGTGTATGCACGTCCATCTGTGAGGGATTAGAAGTTTGGAAAATAGGTCCTTCCTCCTAGATAACTTGAGAAGCACTGCTCTCGTTTATACATCCTTAGTCTCTGTAGTGAAAACGGGTTAGTCGCTCACCCATGTCCAACTCTTTGCCACCCCAGGGACTGTAGCCCACCAGTCTCCTCTGTCCATGGAATTCTCCAGGCAGGAATACTGGAGAAGGTTGCCATGTCCTTCTCCAGAACATCTTCCAGACGCAGGAATCAAACCTGGGTCTCCTGCATTGCAGGCAGATTCTTTAGCATCTCAGCCACCAGGGAAGCATGTGTCCTGGAACCAGCACGCAGTAGGCCCAGCACTTGATGAGTGTTAGCGGACTCAGCCACCTCTGGGTGCCTGTGCTCGCTCCTCTCACGTAGTGTGCACTGCTGAGGGGCCCCTGCACCCACGTGGGAGGCTCGGCCGTCCAGCTCTTCCTCACGGACTTCCTCTTCTCCCATTTATGTCCAGTGAGTTCTGCCTGCTCTTGGGGTTCAGATGAGATGCTTCCTCTCCCATAGCATCTCTTTTTGACCATTCTGTCTGTCTTATACATCATTGATGACATTGATTGGGCTTCCCTGGTAGCTCCATCGGTAAAGAACCTGCTTGCCAATGCAGGAGACACGGGTTTGATCCCTGGTTGGGGAAGATCCCCTGGAGAAGGAAATGACAACCCACTCCAGTATTCCTGCCTGGGAAATCCCACGGACAGAAGAGCCTGGTGGGCTACAGTCCATGAGGTCACAAAGGAGTTGGACATGACTTATCAACTAAACCACCACCATGACACTGATCACAGACTTGTATCCTTTGGCTTCATATTTTAAAGCATATGTAGCTTGAATTACTAAATCTGTTGGCACACCCCTTATTTTATTCATCTCTTACGCAAAGCCTAGGGTTGTCCTTGTCTCGTCTCCGTGACCTCCTCTCGTTTGCAGAGCACTGGCACATGCATCCCCCTCGTTTCTCAGCGGCCGTGTAGGACAAGGAAGGTGTCAGCCCCAGTTTCCAGGTTAGAATGAGACTTCCTGGAGGCTTAGGTGATGGCTCAAGGACATATATGTAAAGTGTTGAGCAGCAGACTGGAACTAGAACGTTTTCACACTGCCAACCTACACACAATAAATGCTCGATGAGTATTGATGAAATAAATAAAATGCTTCTGTTAACTGAGGTTATTGGAAAGAAATTTTCATCGGTAAAGAACCTGCTTGCCAATGCAGGAGACACGGGTTTGATCCCTGGTTGGGGAAGATCCCCTGGAGAAGGAAATGACAACCCACTCCAGTATTCCTGCCTGGGAAATCCCACGGACAGAAGAGCCTGGTGGGCTACAGTCCATGAGGTCACAAAGGAGTTGGACATGACTTATCAACTAAACCACCACCATGACACTGATCACAGACTTGTATCCTTTGGCTTCATATTTTAAAGCATATGTAGCTTGAATTACTAAATCTGTTGGCACACCCCTTATTTTATTCATCTCTTACGCAAAGCCTAGGGTTGTCCTTGTCTCTTCTCCGTGACCTCCTCTCGTTTGCAGAGCACTGGCACATGCATCCCCCTCGTTTCTCAGCGGCCGTGTAGGACAAGGAAGGTGTCAGCCCCAGTTTCCAGGTTAGAATGAGACTTCCTGGAGGCTTAGGTGATGGCTCAAGGACATATATGTAAAGTGTTGAGCAGCAGACTGGAACTAGAACGTTTTCACACTGCCAACCTACACACAATAAATGCTCGATGAGTATTGATGAAATAAATAAAATGCTTCTGTTAACTGAGGTTATTGGAAAGAAATTTTCACAAACATTTTGCCTTTTTAAAAGTTATCTGAAGTAGTATTATTATGTGAGACTGAAACCTTTTGATATTTGCATCCTGATAAGACTTGACAATCTAAAGTGAATAGTGGCAGTAACCTCCCTGTCATTATAAATGTCCTTTTGTCTCACTGCATCAGCCCTAAAATTGTGTCCGTGTTAATGCAGTGCAGGGCTGGGGTGGACTGAGCCGACAGCGCCGCGTGACGGTGATTCAGAGTGTGGACGCGGGGGCGGGGCCGCGCTCAGCTCCCGTAGGCTCTCACGCCCAACAGGAGGTGAGGGGTTTGATGCGGAGCGCCCACTCACTGGGAAGACCCTGCTGCTGGGAGAGATTGAAGGCAGGAGGAGAAGGGGACGACAGAGGATGAGATGGCTGGACGGCATCACTGATTCAGTGGACATGAGTCTGAGTAAACTCCGGGAGTTGGTGATGGACAGGGAGGCCTGGCGTGCTGCAGTCCATGGGGTCTCAGAGTCAGACATGACTGAGCGACTGAACTAAAGTGATTATGTGTACATATTCTAGTAACCTAGTGAGCATTTCGAGATAGGCAGATCCCTGAGTTGAGGCCAGTTTTTTACTCTTACAACCTGGAACAGAAAAGAGAAGGAGCAAAAAAAATAATTTTAAATCTCAGGGACATGTGAAGAAGCCACATGCTGTCCTTGCAGTTTGACAAGTCCTAGCTCTTGGCTGTCTTGTCCCTCATCCTTGTGTTCCAATGGCTTTATGATACTGCTATTAGAAATTTAGTTCAGTTCTCTCATTTTATTTTTTTAGATTTATTTTTTAAATTTTAAAAATTTAGCTCCTCTCGTTTTACTTTTTCCGAGGGCTGGACACCAGTGCAGAGCGCACTTGGCTTTTTCCCACGTCCCCTCATGCGAGCGCTCCTGTAACCCAGCGCGCTGTCGGCTCTGTGACGGGACGCGGGGGCGCTGCTGTTTGTTTGTGCAGGGGCTGGGTGCTGCCCAGCAGGCTAGGACTGGGGAGTTCCGTGTTTCTCTCCACACTCGATGTGTTTCCGTGTTGATTCCTAGTCCCCTCACTGCTAGCTTGGCCTTTTCCCACGTCCCCTCACGCGAGCGCTCCTGTAACCCAGCGCGCTGTCGACTCTGTGACGGGACGCGGGGGCGCTGCTGTTTGTGCAGGGGCTGGGTGCTGCCTGGCAGGCTAGGACTGGGGAGTTCCGTGTTTCTCTCCGCACTCGACGTGTTTCCGTGTTGATTCCTAGTCCCCTCACTGCTGGCTTGTCTTCCTGGCACCTCGTCCATGGCAGCGTTGGTCCGTGAGCTAACCAGTGTTTATGACCGAGGCTCTGCCAGGTTTTCCCTGCGCCCTGAACTCATTGGGCCCCATCACGATCCATTGTTCTGTGAGTTCGCAGTGAATCCTACATGCCAAACATCAGTATTTCCTGTGCTTTGCTTTTTCAAGCAGTATTTTAAAGACGGAGATAGTTTTGGTAATTAATCCTTGGTCTGGAACCAGCTATGAAAATTCAGGTGGGCTTACACGCCTGTTTCTGGTGCATAGGTGGTCTCCGTTCATTATTTTTTTTTTCTCAAGCTCGCCTGTTAGTTTTGTCTTTTATGGCTGCTCATCTACCTGCTTGCTTACCCTCTCTCCTTCCTTAAATACTCAGTGTCGCTGCATGTGCTTAGCTGGGTTTTCTGGATTCTGTTTCTTGTATTCTTTCAACCAGATTCTTGAAAATAAATGTTTAAATGATTTCCCCCCCTTGAAATGAATTAAGGTAAAAATCAATATGCATGCTTCTCTTCCAGTCTATTAATGGTCTAAATTGCATTTCAGAATATAGTTTCAATTCATGGAATTGTAGCTAGAAATAGCCAGGGAACCTAGCTAGTGAAGGAAGACCAGATACTGAGAGTAAGGAAATCATGGGGAACTGTGCTACAGTGATGCTCGAGTCCTTCTTGTTGGTCACATATTAGGTGATGGCTTGTATTTACAGCATTGCCTTTGATTATAGTCTCTGTTTATGTCCTTTTCCTCTCAAGACTGAACCTAATTAGGAAGCTAATAGCGGATGAAGTGGATTTTCTCCCTCATGTCACTCAGCTTGATCTGCGAGACAACAAACTTGGGGGTCTGGATGCTATGGTTTTCAACAACCTTGAAGTTTTACACTGTGAAAGGAATCAGCTGGTGACGTTAAGCATCTGTGGCTGCGTCCTCAAAGCGCTCTATGCCTCTTCCAACGGTATGTGACAAGACCACATGGGGTTCCTCACATGGCCCTGAGAATCCACTCAGTGCTGTCAGCTCCCTCCTGGCTGTGACTTTTCTTTCCTCATTTAGTAAAATAGCTGTCAATTTTTGCTAAGATAAAAATCATGACAGAAGAATGCTGTTTGGTATTTAAAGCAATCAAAAAGGAAGGACTTATTTATAGTTCCTGACTTGTTTTTCTCGTATTGTGACATTTAAATAAGTTATTCCCACTGGTGATTGACTCTTCAGCTTGAAGAACAGACGGGGTGTGGGGGGTGGGGGTGGGGGGCAGTGGGAAGTGAACTGTTTATTGGGCCACCTTGTGAAGATAGTGAATCTGCAGAGTGCAAGTGGAAGCTACGTCTATTATGGATTCCATACAAGGTCTTAGATTTCCTGCTCCACCAACAGAGGACCTCAGCGTAAGAGAAACCTCTATATATTATATACCACAGGGCCATCACAAAGCAAGAGCCTTATTCATTTAATAAGATTGCCTCCTTAGACTTTGGAGATCTTGGCAGTTCTGAAAAAGAAAAGGCTATATGGGCACATGTTTGGTGAATGAATGAAGGTTTCTGCCCCTTCCTGTCAGACAGCGGAATGGAAATGAGTGTTTACCGCTGCACTGAACACATGTCTGTCAGGCACTTGTGTTCTGTGTCATGTAGCACAGGAGTGCTAAAGGATGGGATTCTTTCTTTCCTTTTCCTTTTTCTTTTTTTGGTTTTAATGAATTTACTGTCATCTCAATGGAGAAATAAATCTCAGATAACTGCAGGTCACCAAAATGTTATAGGATTTGGCTAGTTGAGAGACATGAAATAGGTGTTGAAGAGGAAAGACTATGAATGTGGTTCATTTGGTAGATGAGCAAAAGGGAATTCTGCTCTCATAGGTACCTGCTGGGAAGTGGTAACATGTACTTATGGGACACACAGCTTGGAGTCAGATGGTGAAACTTTGCAGCTGGTACAGTAAGCTGTAGAGATCCAGTGGAAATTTTTAGTGGAAGAGGCAAGTGATGAAAATGAAGCTGTAAGACTATTAACGTGGAAGCAGGGTCCAGAGTGCCCATATGGGAGAAGAGTGAGATAATCCACCTTTCCACTAATCCAGGTTATTGCAGTGGTTTCATGTGAGTTAGTAGGAATTTGCAGGCGGGACTACAGATGTCGATGTAGGACGTCTGCTCAGAGGTGGTATCTGAAACCGTGGAAGTAAGGTAACTAGAGCAGAGAGGAGACCCAGTACTAGAAGTAGACTTCCCAAACCATCACAGTTTCTGGGGCCAGATGAGGAAGCCGAGAGGAGCTGAGCCTCTGAAACACTTAGTAAGTGTTCAGAGAAAAGCAGAAGGGCCTCTCGAGACTACTGCATCTGAGAAGCAGAGCCCTTGGTGTCACTTTGCACACAGTTTTGAGGAAGGCTTCCAGATTTGAGTAGTCCTTCCTGATCCTCAGGAGGGCTGTTCCAGTGAATGGCACAGAGTGAAAAAGGCTCAAGCCAGGACACATTTGATTACATGCCAGGAACCCTGAGTGTTTAAAAACAGTGATATTCGTAATCTTCCAGTTAAAATTTAGGCTGCATAACAAGAGGAGTGCAGCAGCAAGTGGATGGGAAGAGGCAGGAAAGCAGAGTGAGTGATTTATTTCAGTCTTTGACTAAGACCTTGTGACTAAATTAGAAGGTCTCTGTACTTCCCTGTAGTTTAGAGTTAAACAAATGGATATATTGTGCTTCCCAACCTAAACAAACAATGGAGAATAAAACACAGGAACGATTCTACACATAAAAAGAGTCTCTGTGTCACTTGAATGGTGATGTGTTTGGTTGTGTTTTTTTCCTGCTTCCTAGAACTTGTCCAGCTTGATGTTTGCCCAGTTCCGAATTATCTGTCCTACATGGATGTCTCAAGGTAAGAAGCCAGTTCCTGGAGCGCTCTAGGGTCTGCGTGAAAATTATCTGGATGATTCTGTCTAAACCTGAGCGTAAGAGCTTTTTATATAAAACAGGTAACGAATGAGAACCTCTTGTACAGCCCAGGGAACTCTGTTCAGTGCTCTTTGGTGACCTTCATGGGAAGGAAACCCAAAAAAGAGGGGATACGTGTGTACAACAGGTGATCACTTTGCTGCACAATAGAAATGACCTGTAAAGCCAGCAGCTCTGCCGAACGACCACAGCTGGGAGAGTCGTTTGGTCCTGTCCGGCTCCTGGCGACCCCATGGGCTGCAGCCCACCAGGAGGCTCTGTCCATGGGATTCTCGAGGCAAGAACACTGGAGTGGGTGGCCGTTTCCTTCTCCAGGGGTCTTCCCGCCCCAGGGATTGAACCCGTGTCTCCTGCTTTGGCAGGTTCTTTACCACTGTGCTCCCGGGGAAGCCCCACATATCCTGCCTGGAGCCCTGAAGTGGTGGCAACTGGCACGGCCAGAGTGGGGTTTCCGTACAGCCGGCTCACCTCTAAACTCACTTGTGCACAAGCTCACCTCCTCACCTTGTGTACAGATTCACTACTGCTGTGTATCATATTTACTTTGGTTTCCACAAATATCGTAGTTAACTTTTCCCTGAAGGCCCAAAGCATATATTGGAGCAAATTAGACTTTCATAATCTCCACACACTAAATTGAAACTCACTTTTAACATAATTTCAAAGGTAATAATCCAAACTTTTCTGAACGACCACAGTGCATAGGAGTATGTGGCCTCTCAATGTGACAGGCACCTCATTTCAGTGCATAAATTTGGTACAGCTGCTGTGTAATTTGTCAGGTAGAGAATTTGCCTTTAGTCTTGAAAGTATACAAACCTAGATATTTTAATAATATTTTCAATCATGTTATGTAAGAATGTGTCAGAATTTGGCTGATGTGAGAATGATTACAGTTACAGCTTTGAATTTATAAAATTCTTTATGAGTGGTGTTTCATATACTTCCTACTAAATTCATGTCAATTTTGTGTTTAATGAACTTTAAGTCAGACACTGCCCAAGTTCTTTTTATTTTATCGGCCTTGAATAGTGTTATCTTCAGTATTGAAATAAGAGTACAGGAGTGGGGTTTGCATACATGGGTGCATGTAAATATCTTGAATAGATTTATTCTAGAGAATTGGCCATAGAGTGAATCTGTTTTTCTTTTGTTTAAAGGATGTAATTGGTTCCCATTGAAGCCCCTCCCCCGCCCCGTGAGACTGAATTAGAAACTTGTGCTTTGCTAGTCCCTGAATTCTGTGCTTAAATGCTGTTCATCTTTTTCTTAAGAAAAATTCTCATGTCCAGAGCCTGCATTGTGACACGCTCTGCCTTGTCCACCTCCCAAACTATAGGACTTTTTCTCTTAGAAAGCCCTCTGCGTCAGACCCCTCACATAGCTCTGGGTGTTTCACCCTCCTCTCTGTCAGTATTTATGTTTCCAAAGGAACTGAGCTGTTCCTAATTATGGTGCTTACGAGGTTCTTAGAGTTCCTCAGGGTCAAAGTTCAGGATATTTTGCCACTTAGAGGAGTTGTGTTATTTTAGTGTTTGCTTATGCTGAAGGGTACTTTCACTTGCCTACCTTAATGAGATGTTTTAGGGGTTGATGTGTGTGTGTGTGAGAGAGTGTGCAGTTAGTCACTCAGTCATGTCCGATTCTGTGTGTGTGTGTGAGTGTGCGCTTTAGTCACTCAGTCACGTCTGACTATGTGTGTGTGAGAGTGTGCACTTAGTCACATCTGACTCTGTGTGAGAGTGTGCACTTAGTCACTCAGTCACGTCTGACTCTGTGTGTGTGTGAGTGTGCGCTTAGTCACTCAGTCATGTCTGACTCTGTGTGTGTATGTGTGTGTGTGTGTGCGTGCCAGCGCGCGCTTGGTCACTCAGTTGCGTCCGACTCTTTGCAGCCCAATGGGCTGTAGCCTACCGGCTCCTCTGTCCGTGGCACTCTCCAGGCAGGAACCCTGGAGCGGGTCTCCATGCCCTCCTTGACTGCTGTGCAATAAAATAATAAAGTGTATCAGTCGGTAGACCTCAAAGCCTGAGCAGTGTGTACGTATACAAACACTAAACGGAAAATAATGCCTTCTTTTCTATATTTTAATTGAGAAGATAAAATAGAAAAAAATTTTATTCTACTATAATCCTTGTTCCAAGCCTCATACTTTTCACAGACTTGTTCATCTGTTTTTAAAGAATTGTAACCATAACATACATACTGTTTTAGATTTTTTTTGAGCCTAGTCATTTCACATATTTTAAAAAGAAGATAAAAAGCTAACCATCCATGACTAAGGAGACATTCAAATACAGTAATAGATTTATCAAAAAAGTGGTCAATTCATTTAACAATTATAGTTACCATTAGCTTAGTTTACTTGTTTCCAGTAATTTATAATTACTGTCAAATGCATAAGTAAATATTTTCAAATCATTGATTCTGAGTCTTAGGGTCAGTGTATATTTTCATTGCCACCATTTCTTTCCTCTTGTCTATGGCAGTGGTCTCAGGGTACCTTCTGGAGTTGGGGAAATTTTTCATATTAATGGTAAAAATGCAGATTGGAAAACAAAGCTATTTTATGCCATTTGACTCTTTACCATAACTGTAAGTATGTAAATATGTGTTTATTGGTTTTCCAGTGGAAGACATCTTCTCCCTAAACTTACATGGGTTTATAGACATTTTAGGATAGTAACTCTGGAAGCCAGACTATTTTTTAGACTTTAGAGATAATACAAATGATGTTATTGTGTTCTTTCCTACTTTTTCTTTATTTCTTATTCCTTATCACATCTTGCTTTAGGTTAAAGTGACTACACATATCTTTTTTATTTATATTCACTGTAATTGAGTATTTACTCTGAAGTTTTATTTGTTATATGTAATTATTTTGACTTTTGAACCATATTTTAAGCCATATTCCAATCAAAGAAGAAATCGTATATTCTTGCATTTAGGAACTGTTTAGAAAACGTGCCTGAGTGGGTCTGTGAAAGCCGAAAGCTAGAAGTTTTGGATGTTGGCCATAATCAAATATGTGAACTTCCTGCACGGTGAGTATTAAGCACAGATCAAGTTAGAGAATCTCAAATAAGATGAACAATGGAAAAAATTGCTGGTTCAGTGTTTAATTTGTTGTTTTGAACCCCTGAAAGAGTTTGCTTTTAAACCTTATTTACTATCTCTTATCTCTCATGGTATCGTTAAGTCATAATATTTCATCATGTATTGACAAGTACAGTGAAGCTTTGACTGCTAGCCAGACTTGGCAAAGCCTTGTGGAGGCTGATGCTTGGTGGAACTTTTCAAATAAGCCAAAAGAAATGTCCAGAAACTCAGCAAATGATATGGCTGGTTCACCTCTGTAATCTTAATTCTTTCAGAATCTTTACTTTCTGTCTCTTGTCTTAACATGTCTGTCTTCTTGTAGAAGAACTGTGAGAAGAATTTAAACACTAAGTTTCCGTTTTTAGTTCCTGGAAAGCTCAGTGACTTGCGCTTTGTTTCTCAGGAATCTATTACACCCGTGAGTCGGGTCCGTTTGAAACGCTGAGTCTTGCGCTCAGTGAGCATAGGTCAGCCACTGCAGAGCCCACCACCATCAGAGGACTGTGGGCAGCAGTGTGTGTGGGGCGTGGGGGGAGAGCCTTTAGAGGACAGCAAAATAGTCAAAGGGGACTACTGACAAGAAAAGTAATTTGTTAAAAAAAATCTTGTCCTGTTTATCTTTCCATCTGTTTTTCTCTTCGCTACTCTGACCTCCCCAACTTAACACATGTAGCCTATTGGAGTTTAAAGCCGCTGTGTCACTGCAGGCTGCAACAAACATATAAATAAACCAACAGTTACATAAATACAGGATAACTGATTTATTATCCAGTTTGCCTGAGTGAATTAATCTTTGATTTGCTCTGCCAGACCACCTGACCTGCCTCTTGGGAAACCTGTATGCAGGTCAGGAAGCAACAGTTAGAACTGGACATGGAACAACAGACTGTTTCCAAATAGGAAAAGGAGTACGTCAAGGCTGTATATTCCTAAAGGAGATCAGTCCTGGGTGTTCATTGGAAGGACTGATGCTGAAGCTGAAACTCCAGTACTTTGGCCACCTCATGCGAAGAACTAACTCATTGGAAAAGACCCTGATGCTGGGAGGGATTGGCGGCAGGAGGATTCGGGGACAACAGAGAATGAGATGGCTGGATGGCATCACCGACTTGATGGGCGTGAGTTTGAGTAAACTCCGGGAGTTTGTGATGGACAGGGAGGCCTGGCGTGCTGCAGTCCAAGGGGTCGCAAAAAGTCAGACACGACTGAGCAACTGAACTGAACAGTGCAGGGTTTGGGGGATCTAAACGAATGCTCATTCAAAGCAAATCCAGATGCTCTATTGTCATAAAATGTAAACAGCATTTGTTTTTGTGTGTGTTTAACACATAGGACAATAACATTGCATATTGTTTGCTCATTTATTACTGTTGTTTAGTTGCAAACTTTGTATCAGCCTTGTCATTGATCTAACATCCAGGCCGAGACAGCGATTCATTAGAAACTGATTGAACCATTCAAACTTTATTTGTCTAAGAGATGTGTTTGAAAGGGTTTGACAAAACAGAAAATAATATTTAGAACCAGAGATGTATTGAAAGGAAAAGAAGCTATTTATTCTTCATGTACAAAAGAATTGAACAAATTCTGTCACTAGCATGTATACTCATTCTGTAGTCATGAAATCTACTTTCTTATGTGGAAAAATGAAGATAAAGATTGTGTTATCTTCCTTCAGCTATCCTTCTATTTAAGGGTAAAGCGTGTCTGTATATGTGTGTCTGTGCATGTGAGAGAGACAGACAGACAGACAGACAATCTCATTCCTCTGTGGACCAAATCCAGAGTTAGGAGCTTAGAGTGAGTGTCCCAGAGGCCAGCCCTGCAGTAACTGACTGAAGACCATCCTGGACGCCTTGTCTTGTCCTCTAGCCTCTAAACCCGCAGAGGCAGGTGATCCTTAATGGTGGCCCATGATGTCACCTTGTTGAGACAGGTTGGTAGCATCTTTGTGACCAAAGTTTCTCGTTTTCATCCTTAAAGTGAACAAAGTTATGGCTCTAAGTTAGAGTGACTTTAAGAACTTTTAAGTGAGTGAGGTCAAGATGGTGGAAAACAGGAGGTGGGTGAGGAAGCCTCATTCTTTGACGTCAGTGTGAGTGAGCTCTCGTTTCAAAGTGACCCTGACGTGAATCACAACCTTGCTTCCCCACAGTCCCCAGGCTTCTGTGTTTAACGCAGGATGTGCTTTATTCTCTGCAACTGTTGCTGTCTCAAGTGATCATAAAGCAGATTTTGCTTTGATGAACACAAACTCATCATTTATTGCAGTTTTGATAATCCATAGAAGAAACAGTCACGCTTCCCAACAGCTCGTTTAAGGCTCAGAAGAAAATGCTGCAGTGAGCGCCTTCCGTTCTCTTTAGAAGGGAGCCTGCTTTGGTCCAGGATGAAATCGATGAGAAAATAAAAGCAATCAGATTTAGGGAAGTGAGGAAAGGAACAAATAATTACTGTGAAATGCAGCTGAGGAAAATGTAACATTTTCTCAGTGGGCACTGGTAAAAGTTTATTTGGACACAAGAACCCTCACTGAATGTTGATCCTGTAGGTGAAAATTGCTCAGCTGTGTTTCTTCAGAGTCTGTTGTGTAGAAGAGTGCCCTGTGTCCCCGGCAACCCCGGGCATAGGCCTTGCCTGGGAGCTGGCGGCCTCGCTGTTGCCCCGTGAGTCTGACACGATGAGGCTGCCACCTTCCATGTCGTCCATGAAACTCGTGTTTTCTTCGCACTAAGGAGAGCTGCTCTGTTAAATAGTCCTTTTCATAGTTTTTCCCACCCTCTTTTTTTTTTTTTTTTGAAGTATGGAAAGCATTGAAATAACAGCTCAAACTTTGAGCTTATATTAAAATGAATTTGCAGTTGCTCTGGTGAATTTAGGTTTCTTGGCAAGGTAATTTTAAGTCTTCTCTTCCTCCCATTCATTTTTAAGCCTTCATCCCAAACGAGCTCTCAGTGAGTTACCTTCTCTCTTTGCCCCTGTTCACACAGCCTGTTTTGTAACAGTAGTCTCCGGAAACTGCTGGCAGGACACAACCAGCTGACCAGGCTTCCTGAAAGGCTGGAAAGGACCCCCGTGGAGGTCTTGGATGTGCAGCACAACCAGCTCCTGGAGCTGCCGCCCAGCCTCCTGATGAAGGCCGACAGGTAAAGCCGCGGGTTTGCTCTGGGTGCTCATTGACTTGTGAAATGCCCCCTCGTTAACAGGCTTGTCTTAGCTGTCTTAGTTGCTCAGTCATGTCCAACTCTTTGCGACACCATGGACTGCGGCCCACCAGGCTCCTCTATCCATGGAATTTTCTAGGCAAGAATACTGGAGTGGGTTGCCATTGCCTTCTCCAGGGGATCTTCCTTACCCAAGGATCGAACCTGGGTCTCCTGCATTGCAGGCAGCTTCTTTACCATCTGAGCCACAGGGGAGCCCAGTCTTGCCTTAGGTGATCTCAGACCATTTCAAGTGGAATTTGTGACTATCTGAGGCTTCCCTGCTGGCTCAGACAGAAAAGAATCCACCTGCAAGGCAGGAGACCCTGTTTTGATCCCTGGGTTGGGAAGATCCCCTGGAGAAGGGAATGGCTACCCACTCCTTGTGACTTATCTATCTGTCCTGCGTTTATGAAGAAAATGGTATTGCCAGCCTCACCATTTTGTGGGGATAGAGGCAGGAATATCTTAGCGAGTCTTCCTTAATTTTGATTCCTTAAGTACGGTGAGCCGTGCATAAACAGCCCTGTGCCGTGGAGGGGTGTGTGATAGCAGGATGAGAAGTTTGCTACCTGGGCAAAACCCTGCAGGTCACTCCTGCTTACCAGAATCATCTCAGGAGTCTCCCTTCTGTCTCCACATGTTTATGACTGTGGGCGACAGAGAGATTTTCCTAGAGTTTTGACTTGTCTTTTTTTTTTAGTTCTCATCTTTACCACAGTTTCCCCTCACATTTGAACTATTTTCTTTTTGGACCGAGTTTTTCTAAATTACTTGTTTACTAAGTTTTAAAAGACATTGTTTTGATCCAAGGAGGAAGTTAAACATTAAGTGGAAACTCTTTTCTCTGAGGAGTTACCACGGGCAGAACTTTCTTTCAAGAAAGCTGTAAGTAGCTGCATGTTAAATTACTTTGGAACATCTTGTTTGCTTCAGAGCCCTTATGCATTAAACCGAAATGCTCCATAGCCTGGTGGCCTGAATTATGTTGGTCTCTGTGGGTGTTTATTTTAGTGAGTGACCATAACTTTAGCAACAAGATGAAGGATCTGACTTTTACTGTGCCTCATGATAAAGACAAGAGTTAAATTCAGTTTTGTGCTTCCCTAAGAGAAAGACATCATGATGGATCTTTTTGCTTTAAAAAATATTTCAGAATGTGTGGTTTTTTTGTTTTGATTTTGTGGGTGAAATAGCAGTTGAAGAACTCTGGCTCTCCTGAACTGAAATAGATAATGGTCCCCAAGCCCCCAGGGTTGACCCTGCTCTCGTACTCATCACACCACACTGTGTTTAATTTCTCGCTTACTGGTCTCGCCCTGCTCACAGATTACAGACGTTTAGGTTGTTCCCATCACTTGTTGTTCAGTCACTAAGTTGTGTCCAATTCTTTTTGACCCCGTGGACGTAGCTCGCCAGGCTCCTCTGTCCATGGGATTTCCCAGCAAGAATATTGGAGTGGGTTGCCATTCCTTCTCCAGAGAATCTTCCGAGACCAGGGATGGAACCCCTGTCTCCTGTATTGTCAGGCGGGTTCTTTCCCACTGAACCCCCAGGGAAGTCCTTCCATGTCTTGATTGTTGTTAACAGTACTGCTGTGAGCACTGAGATGCATGTGTCTTTTTGAACTAGAGTTTTCTGCAGATATGTGCCCAGAAGCTGGACTGCATGATCACTCTAGTTTTCGTTTTTTAAGGAACCTTCATCCTGCTCCATAGTGGCTGTCCCGGTTCATGTTCCCACCAACAGTGTAGGAACCCTTTTAAGATGTTCAGTAAATATTTGTTTAATGAAAGATAGAAAATTTAAGGAGTTTTAAATACTACCCTTGATCTTGGATTTGCATTTTTTATTCCTCCTCTTTTTTTAAAGGAAATCTTTTTATCCAGATGTAACTTCTGATAATAAATGTGTACAACTCTTAACCATACTGCTCTGTGAACTTTTACGTACATATATACCCCATAACCATCACCCAGATTGAAACAGAGAATATTTACTTCATTCTTTTCCTCCTGTTTTCCTCACTAAAAAAATTATTCTCTGTACTTAATGTAAGTTAAATGAATTCCTACTGGAGTGGTTACTGAGATATAATGAAATTGTGAGAAAATGGGATTGTTCCTTTGTAATGGCTGGTGCTGTGTCATTGCCCTGACAAAGAGTACAGCATTTCAAGATCATTTAAAGAATTGTTCTTGCTTTTGCCTTCATGTGAAAAGACGATGCACAGCCTGTCAGTAGCTGTAGTCTTGTTTCTTGTTATGAATATAGGGTTTGGTTTCTTCCCCTGTGGAGAATTCTGTGTTGTGTTGTAACCTTGTGTTTCCTTTCCTGAGGCTCGCTAGGCAAAATCTGCATGAGGTTCTATAATGGGAGTCTACTTGTTCTCTTGGGGGATCTACACTGAATTGATAGGAAAAAAATAGGTAGATGCATTTGGGTTTTAAGAGTCTTTGAGTGAGATAAACCTGTGACTCTGCATCTTGTAAGGTCATGGCTCATCGAAAAGGTAAATAGACCTGGAACTCTCCAGTAGGTAGTAATCGCTCTTGTTAATTTCTGAGGATTTGATTCTAAAAGGACTCTTGTGTATGTGTTGCATTCTCTGAGGTGTCAGTAAGCAGTCCTGAGTCTCCCAGGTGCCAGGCGCATCTGACAGCGTGGGTCTGAGGATGCTCGTAATGTGGTCCGGGAGACGCTGTGTTCACATGAGGAGCTTCGAGTGGCAGCTTTAACTAGGTTGCTCCACAGGCCATTCTGCTGACCCCTGGGCTTAGGAACTGCTGTGTGGACTGTTGCCTCGTGGCCCTCCGCAGGTCTTCCCGTGTTGTCTCGACTCTGCAGTCCCAAATGGACTGTGTCTGTTGGAACAGGTGTGACTGTGTGAGCCAGAATATTTCTAGTCACACAGTGTGAAAAACTGAGGACCCGAATCGAGCCTCTGAAGGAGGACACTGCTACTGAGGGGAGCAGAGGGGGCCGAGCCTGCAAGTGAGAGCTGAAGGCGTGCAGGCTGAGACGCCCTTGTCTGAATGCATAGGCCTGTCCAGAGCCAGCTTTGTTTTGAAGAGTCAGGGCTGTCTCCGGGGGACATAGACAGTCTGCAGGTCTTGGGAGGAGGGCGGGCCGTATTAAACACGGCTCTGGCCCAGGAATGCTCTGGAGTAAGGGGCTGAGGGAGCTGGAAAGGGCAGTCGTCCTGCTCCTGTTCTGTGAGAGAAAAGCAAGCGACTGAAAGGGGCTGAAGTGAGGAGCTTTTCCAGAAGGCGTTCTGCCTTTGTTTTCCAAGAGCGCGCACCATAGCTGTGTCTCCAGGCTCCTGTTGCCGCTGACCCTGTGGTCCCGACTCGAGCAGAAAGCCCAGGAGGTTTGAGTCTCTCGGGCAGACAGGGTTATGAAAAGGGTGGGTTATGTCGATGAGATCTTTTTTTTGAACAGCGTTCTTGTATTATCTCACTCGTTGGAAGACAAGAAAAACAGAACTTTTAAAAATTGGAATGTGGTTGACTTACAATATTATATTAGCTTAAGGTGTACAACAACAGTGATTCAATTAGTTTTTATAGACATGCTATACAAAGCTATGATGAAAATATTGATTTTATTCCCTCTATTGTACCATACTATTTACTGCCTCTTAAAGGGTTAATACTTTTTTCTACTTATCCCATTTCCAAAACCTAAGTAATTGAGGTTTATCTACCTACTTTAAGATTTTTTTTTAATTGAAATTTTAATTGAGACTAATTAAGATTTTACATTGAGGCATAATTTACATTCAGGAATATGTAGGATAGAGTATATTTGGCTTGATTCGTTTGAGGGGAAGGAATAAACTACTACCGACATTGTTGGGAGTAGGTCAACCTAAAGACATGAAGCTTAAAATATTAAGAGGGTTTTCTAGGAGAAAATCATCACACACTCCTTGCAGGTGGACCACCTGTGATCTGTTTTCATTTATTGGCTCAGGGTGGCCGGTGTCTCACTGACCTTGTCAGTTTATGTCACTGGGTTAGGTGCTGCAGGAAACTGAAAAATGACTAATCCTCAAGGTACTTACAGTCTAATGCCGAGTTAAAATAGCTGCACAATAAACTAATAAAACGTGGTAGGTTAGAGGGAAAAGAAGAATGTAAATGATAGGGTTGGTTTTCATTTAGGCTCCCGGTATGAAGAGGAGCATTCTGTTTTATGATACAGAGCTTTGTATTTGGCAGATGGCTCCAGGCAGCGACAAGACTGCTTCAGTTCTCCTTCCATTCAGTTTGCTTCATAGTACAGATCTTTAAAAATATATGTAGATGCTCACTTTTTCTTTCTTTCTTTTTTTCTGGTAGTAAATTATTATTACTAGTTCTGTGGTTATGTAACTGAGGAAAAGGCCTGAATATATAAGTCTTTATAAGTTAAAAATGGTTTAGTTTGTTCTCTAAATAGAACTTGTGCTTAGAAGTGTTATGAGAGGTCAGAAAAACATGTGTTATTAGACACAGCAAAAGGTTGAACTCCCTTTCTAGGGAGATTTCTTTAGCTCTGAATCTTGCTGGTAAAACACAGTATCATGGTTTTCATTGCATACTATTGTCTGTGAGATTTTATAGTTTTGGAATGGTGTGTTTTGATCTGCTTGACCTGGTAGCAGTTAACTGGAGAAGAGAGAGGAGTCTAAATTAGATGACTGCTAGTGAGTGATATCCTTGGCTTCCTCTGAAAACTTCAGACCAGTTTATCCCCCCGTACTTTCATTTGTTTGTTTTTTGGCCGTGCTGGGTCTCCGCTGCTGCTGGGGCTTGTCCCTGGTTTGAGGGGCAGAGGCTGCTCTTGGCTGCAGGCAGGGCTTCTTGGTGCTGTGGGTCCCCCGTTGCAGAGTGTGGGTCTAGGGCACCCCAGCTCAGCGGTGTTGGTCCAGATCACCTTCAGACCAATTGTATTAAAAT